AATGCACCCATCTGATTACAAGGTAGACTATGAAGGGAACTTTCTATAGGTCACTGGGATCATAAAAATTACTCCATAATGTGCATGGTTCCCAAAGCATTAGGATGTTTACAGAAGAAACTGCCTAGGTATACAAGCCTTTCCCCTCTCTAAAAACATGCTCAAAGTGGAAAAAATCCAAAAGGCAACTCTAGAAATCCACACTTCCAAAAAGGAGAGCTTTAATAGGGGAAAAGATGTGTTCTAATGATACAACCTGAGCAGAATCCACACACCTAATACACAAGAAAAGCAGAACACAGTGTAGTGATAATCCAAGGAAGACGTATCAAAAGCAAGGCCATCTCCAGCACTCTTAGCCTAACATGCAAATGGATTTCAATGTATTTTTGGACACACTCAGTTGTCACCATCACCCTCAACTGCAGGTTAAAGCTGAAGAGATGGAATGACATTGTCAAGCAAGTAAATAATAGATACCAGACAGGCCATAAAATACACTTAAAGCAGGTGTCATCTTCCATTGCAGAGGGCATTTTGCAGATTCTAGGAAAAAATGCCAAATTCCACAACTCTGCATATCCTACCGACAGGAAAACAAGGATTTTGATGTTTGGACACACATTTTCTTTTACAGATTGCAACATGCTCCTTGCACCACAGGCTTCAAGAAACACTCTGAGGCTGCAGGTCACCAGAGCAGATACATTCTCAGGATAACCACAAACTCCTTCAGTATTTAACTCAGAAGCTACAGAGTTGTGACTGGTTACTCAAAATATTTTCAGGACAGAAAGTCCTAAGCTTTGCCTGCTTGTCACAGCATCTTGTGGATTTTAACACCAACAGCTACAGTGAAAAGCCTGTGAAGTCTAATCTGTACCAGAAGCTATCTATGTTCACACTAAATGCAGAAAAGCACTGCAGTGAATGGAGAAAATGGGATTGGCTCAGAGCAGGAGCAACACACTGCTGATGCCTCCAGTTGCATGGCGGTGGGATGTGCTCAAGAAAAGTGAGCTCCCACACAATCCAGTAAGAATCCCTCTTAGCCTCCCCAGTAAGAAACAGGCAGGGAAGGGAGGTGTCACTGCGCTCAGCAAGCTGAACCAGGAAAACTGCTCTGACACGTGCCAGCTTCAGTGCAGGAAGGCACAAGAGCAAGTCCTGGAATAACCGCTCCAGCACACGCCTGGAAACCTCCACAGTGATTTACAAAGCATGTATTTTTAAAAGTTCATGCTATAGCTCTCCCATTTTTTGCCCTCTTACTTAAGAAACAGGAGGAAAGGATTACAAAGATGTTAGTTACTAGCAACAAAAGCCAGGAAATACACTGCCAGTGTTGCTAAGTTTGAGGCCTGAGAGGATTTGGAGACAATACCATATAGTCGGTCAAGACTAATTATTTGCTCCTCATCTTAAATCCTTCTGCTTCCATATGAATAACAACTAGCTCCACCTCAGTGAAAACAGCAAAACATCCAGGCAGCAGGGACAGGCTCTCTCCATTTCTCCTCCTTCACCTGCCTTAATGACATGTGACAGTGACAGTACATGAAGGGTACTTCATTTCCCACATGATTTTCTCACATCCAGCAACAATCTGAATACACGTGTTTCTCTTACAGCTCAAGAAGGAGCGCAGAGAGATCCCAGTGCCTATGGAGAACAAGAGCCATAGGATGTATTCCCCAAGTTGCTTCCAAGAAGCCATCTGGGGGCTACACCAAGCCTGAATGAAAACACAGTAAGACAAATGCCACACCACACCGCAACCTTCCAAAAATGAGAATAAAGGGGGAAAGATTATGTAGGGGAAACCATGTGCCTTAGCAACAGAAATCCCATTTTCCATTCAAAATACCTGTCTTTCCCCCACGGAAAACCAGCTCATCACAGACAGAAAAAAGGTCTCCTCATCAAACAACAGCCAACTTGTAACAAAAGACCAACAAGAGCATCACCTGCCATCAGGTTGCAACAAGGGCTGCACCCAGGCTCTGCAAAGCAACTCAAGAGAGCCCACCTCCCCTACCAGGGCAAATAGCCCCCCACAGCCAGCAGGAGAGTGGGCAGCCAGCACTCAGCTCAGCCAGACCTGCTGCCCAACTCCTCTGCACGAGCACTAACAGCAATCCATCAGTTCCACACACATCACACGGAACCCTTGAGCTGTAATAAATTGCCAACACAACAGTCAACAAGGCAAAGCAATTAAATAAGGGCGGCATTTTCATTACTTTAGCTGCAGCAGTTAATACAAGTGGAATAAAACTCTCCTACAAGATTAGGGCAACACAGAGGATTGATGTTTCCTTATCACGATGTACTTAACAGGAAGCCCCCTCAAATCGCAGTGGTCACATACATGTGTGAGCCTTACTGAACAGAAGGAGTTGGACCTGGTAAATCTGTAGCTAGTGAATTTGGAAATGATTTTAAAGTGGGTGCTGGTATGTGCTGTGTAAAACAAAATGATTTCACAACGCAGGAATTATAAAATATAGGGATGTAGCAAATTGTTCTTCAGGCAGGGGCAGTTGAAGATGCATTAAATGGCAACAAAACCCACCATCTCTGCAAAAGCTATTTATTCCCAGCCAACAGATGACTGAGAAAGAAGCAGGTTGACTAGTGAGGGACTAGGATGTCACTGTGAGCTGACACTGGTTTGCTATTTATGCTCTCACAAGCGACTGAATTTGACAGGGATAGCTGATAACCTTCTGAAAATAACTATCAAAGAATCTACATCTTAGCTAACACAGGGTTTGGTTTTTGCAGCCTGTAAAAATGCAGATTAATTCTCTATCTAAGGAGACAATCTTACAACTGTACACTGGAAGATATTAAAATTGGGTATCTACTGCCTGAGGACAACTGAACTGCACAAATCCCTTTCTGAGTATCTCTATTTGGCTTTTACTGAGAACTTAAAAGTCAGCTCCCTTCATTGCAGCAGGTCACGTACAAATCTTACTACTTTATTTTTAATTTAAATAATTAGAAGGCCTATTTTCTTTCAAGTTCAATCAAGAGCAAATTAAAGAAGTTAACCTATGTGTGGTAATCCAGAGGTTACAATTCTCCTGACCAAATTCATTCATCCCAAAAAGCATATTTCTTGCTTCACTAAGTATAAACTACAGTAGCTCTACTAAAATATAGTGAAATTGGCACATGCAGGCTTTGGAGATGATCCCATCCAATCACTCTATCTTCCAGGTTTCCTCTGCACACACACACACACACACACGTACAGCAGTAAGGAAAACTGGAAGAATTCCCACCCTATCAGTTTTTAACATGTCCCAGATAGAGCACATGGCTGGGACCACTGCCCCCACCTCTGGCAGGATTCGGGCAGCATCATGCCTGAATGTTGGAAGGGAAACACGGTAAAAAAACTACTCATTCTGAAGGCCTGCTATAACTGTTGCTGGGGAGAGTCAACGTAAGCAGCACTTGAAGGCCAGCCAGAACTTCTTCATGTGCATACAGTGATTTACTGAGCATCTCTTAGCACTTAGCTCAATTCAAGGCCTGGCGCCTACTGCTCTTTGCTGTAGCAATAAAGCAAATCTGATCATGTCAAACACCTCTCCAAACACACAGGGATGCTCCAAATGGGAGAAGGGGAAGAGCAGCCACCACCAACAAAGAAAAGAGGAATTCCCAAATTCCCAGGAACTTAGGAATTGCTCAAGCGTAGGGAGACATTTTTTCCTGTGAACAGAATTGTGGAGAGAATACGGAGAGGTATTTGGTTTAAAGGAATGTCATACAGAATTAGGTTCCTCAGTGACAACAAAATGAATTGGGAATTGTAGCAACACTGACGAGGAAATAGAAGTTGTCACTGTGGTAAAAGTAGTAAGTGATTCCCGGTGGGAATGCACCAGGCTCTTTCCCAGCAACAGAATTATTTCTGTAAAATATTCTTTAAGTTGTTATACCTCTGTAACTGAAAATAAAGGCAAATGCAAGCGCTTAGTGGGACCTTTGGAACCCCAGCTGTGAAGACTCATTAACTGTAAGTACATTTTTGCAGATGCACAGCTCTGAATCTGACTCATGACTCTCTTCCCCTGACAGCGAGACTTGGGATTGAGGTAAAAAAGGCTTTAGATAATTGACGTGGATTCTTACTCAGGCAAATTAAGAGGAAAAAAGAAGCAGAGAAGAGGCTTAAGCGATGTAGTGACGAAGGGAGATCAATTGTTTAGTGTTTTTTCCTCGAGTGATCCATCACCTGCAGTTCCAACTCACAGGGAGGATGGTGTGAGACGGGAATCTGTTTTATCTAACAAACTTTATGCATTTTGAATAGCGGACAACTAGCCTCAAATACCAGCTCAGAGTAAAAGCTCCCCTTGGGTACTTACTCACTGGGGATTTAAGCCATTTTGCACTTTTAAGGGCTGGATATGTTCAGATTTACCAAGTACAACTGCACGTAGGGTAGTCTTCACGTTTGCAGCTTTTGCTTGCAAAGGACAGGATACATGTGGGGGAGACACAATTACAAATCTCTCCCACACACAAGGCATACAGAAAAGTGGAGCGTGCAAGGCACAGCTGACTCAGAGCTGCACACCCGAGGCCTCACCTCCAGTCACATGTGTATATGCATGTGCACGCAGAGCCGGGGGAAGCATTTGATGCTCACAGAGCTCTTTCCAACTGGATTTCAGTGTGAGTGCAAAAGCATCAGGCCAAAACCTGGGTTAGGAGTCTGTCAGCCCCCAGCCTCTGACTTTACCCACATACATCAGCGAGGAGGGCAAACCATTTGGTGTCCAGCAGCTCTTTCACACTGGCGTTTCTAAGCCTTTTACAAGTTTCTGGAAACAACATTTAAACCGCAGTGCTGTGTATTATACAAGAACAGATCTTCCTTCGAATGGTTCAAAAATAAACCTCATTGCCTTTCCACCACCCCACCAAAAAATAAAATTTAAAATCTTCTAGCAGCATTGACCGAAGTGTAAAGCAACCTGGTTGGCTTCCATGCATCCGATGGCCTCTTCCAAGAGTGAAAACTCCACGCAGACATAGCCATAGTCGTAACCTGGGGACAGCATTTAAATACAGACGGGAGTCATGTTAGTGCCTTGTCATAAAGAAAGCCACATCAAATATTCACTTTCCCTCCAATGACAAACCCTTTAACCACCACCCCTCTACTCCAGAACGAAAAGGAGAGAAATCAGGGACTAGCTGGATGATGATTAACTGCGCAGTTTATCATGAATGTTAATAGTACAGTGTTCCCACTTCCCCTTACACAACCCAGTGACAGGCACACCCTTCCTCAGGGCAAGAAAGAATTGCTTTGTTGTTTTTTTTAAAGGCATAGTGATTTTCCATTGCTAGTTTCACATTTTGTGCTACCTTGGAGGCAGTGCTCCCCAAAGCAAGTGTCGATAAGTCATTTTGAAGTACCTTGCTGCAAATGTATTTTACATGAATAGCCAGCATTTTAATTGGGCAATATTTCAGACAGAACTAACACGATTCCTTTGCCTGCGCTATTTTTCCTTCAACACCTGCTTACTTTTGAAGTCCAATCCTTTGTATTATGAAAAAGTACAGCAGAGCAGGAATGAGAACTCCAACTTTCTCATTTTGGTATAGACGGGATTGCACATATAACAAGAGGGTGTGGGAGCTTAAGTTTAGATGCAAGAAACTAGAGAGCCTTTAATCTTCTCACTCCTTGGAAAGCTGTCATCTCAGTCAGTGGCAGAAGGGACTCACTGATGCAACCGTGTACTCCAGTCACCTGCCCTGAAATGTTATGTCCCACAGAAAAGTGCAGGGTGAACACCACGGAAGCTAAGACCATCCTAAGAGCCATCCTTGATGTTCAAACTATTTCCAAGAACTGAAGTGCTAAGGAACAACCTGAAGTCACAACCTCACCCTCCGCATGCCAAGGCCACCTCCAAAACAGTGCTTTCCAGATGATCGTGGGCTGAGATGCTCCTACATGAACGAACAGTGAGAGGAAAGGCTCAGTTCCCTCCTGCTGCTCTTTTGGCTGGTTAGGAATGAGAAGAAAGGCAGTCTGCGTGTGCCTTGTACCATTTTAGGCACCTAGCTGTCCTGGTGAAGAGCTCATCTCTCCTGAAGATGCATACCTTAATACTAGTACCTTCAAACCAGTTACATATCTGGTTCCTAGTGCTTCAGCCCCTCACCTTCCACAGGAAGGTAACTCCACACACACTTCTTTCAAGCAAGGCATTCCAGTCTCCTGGAAAACAGCCCACATCTTCTCCAAGCCTACGCCAAAGAATATTTGCTGCACTCCTCAATTTTTCCCTCTCTGTTTCTTTACCATCTTCGTACTTAACCACATCAGAGACAAGGCCACACAAAACTGTTTCATCATCAAACCCTACTGGTATTTTTTTTACTATTATTATTATTCCTAGAGCTCTCTGTGCAAGCTTGTAACAACCCAATCCTGACTGTGCCCATTAGCCTTCAACAACAAGACTCCAATTTGAATCTAGCTCCTCCTCTACTCCACAGAGGAATTTATTCCCCTTCCCCATTTTATTTAAGTCAATATAATTATACTAAAATGAAATTTATCATCTGGGTGCTCTTCAGCTCAGTGAAAGATGCAGCCCAGCAGCATACCATCTGTAGTGGGATGCAGCTAAAGCAACTCAATACTCTGACATGAAGTAGGCACCTGGACCTAGAGGTACACTTTCAGCTGACAGCATCGACAAACCCAAATTCACCCAGCTGTTCCCAGCACATCCATTCTGCTCTGCAGTTCCAGCTGCAGACTAAATCCCATTTTGGAAATGAAGCAGCTCTCCTGGCTGCAGACAGAACTGCTCTCCAGGAGCAGTGCTGCCCCTTGCTGGGAGACTGCTTTGCATTCTGGGCAGACACCTCGACTACTTCACCGCACAGCATGCAGGCTCACATGGCACATTTTAAACTCTTATTCAAATCCAGAAATCTAGATTTGAGCTCTTCTTTCCCTCCTGTTTAGAAAAGTGCTGCATGAATGATATTTTTCAGCCTGATTCCCCTTCACAGGATGCTGCTGTAAACAGCAAGCCAGGATCAGTGTTATCTTACTTCCAGGTGCCTGTGAAGCAGGGGGTCTCCTGACAGGCAGGAAACAAGATTGCAGAAGTTTTCACTGTTTGCTGTACAATGAGAGACAGTTTACACCCCAGTCCCCATGAAGCGAATGAGTGGTTCAGACATGGATTTAATCCAGCATGACACAACTGAGAGTTCAATGCTGAATGTTACACGTAGATTAAAAAAGCTGAGATGCTTGCAGGAATGTACACTAGAGGACCCTTCCAAACATTACATGATAGATAGGGGCAGATGAGCACATTTTCTCCTTCGACACTTTCCTGCCTCTGCTCTTCCCCCCAAACTCACCCCCCCTCCCCCATAAGCATAGCTGCAGTAACATGCACAATGAAAACAAACCCAGAAACTGTGGCCCCGTATCCTGCCAAAAAACAACTTGAGGCCAAATATTCAGCTCTTGTGGTCAGGTTGCAGAGGGACACAGCGTTCTGCAATTCACTACAGGCTGGCCTTGCACAGACAGCACTGAAGCAGTGACACAAGAAGAGAGCAGTCTGGAGCCACTGCTCCACTTCAAACCCCTGGGGAAGATCTGGGGGCACTTCACACCTTCCCCTGCCCCCAGATCCAGCCCTTTGCACAGGTCAGACAGGCAGCTCAGCACGTGAGAACTACAGAGTAACATCAGTTCTGGATGGTACGGCACCCCTACTCTGTCCCACTGTCCCCAGCTCCACAAGAGATCCTTCCGTTTCAGACTGTGATAGAGCGGCCACTGAAATGGAAGCATGTGGAACAGCAGCACTGCAACAGAGTACCTTCAAAACACAATGCTTGCTGACTTTTCCACGATCTGCAATATTCACATTACCCAGAACACACCACTTGAAACAAAACCAAGTGACCTGAGGCTGATTCTTAAAGGAGAGCAGCTATAGAGGCTCCTGCCACCAACTATTGTACCTTTTCCCTGCCTCCTCTGTAGGGATGGTTCAGCTCTTTGTGTACCAGCTGCTGACCTTGTATAGTTTTATTTCTAAAGCCTTCACGCACTTTGCCTGTCAGAATGCAGCAATTCAGCTGCTGTAATCAGAACAGGGCAGGGGATTTTGACAGAGGCACAGGGCCAGGCACCTAATGGCAGGAATTGGTTCAACAGGCATCCCAAGGTGAATGGGAATGCTCAGACACCCACTGGTTATTCTTCAAGCCATTATAGTAAAACCAAAGTGATCAAACCAGCAAAGCAAAATCACTGCTGAAGATTACAGCATGGGTTTTTTGACTCAAAGTGGCCTAAATTCACATGCAAGGTTTCACATGAAGATATAAATCCTGACACATTCTTAATTTGACTCTTCACTTACTGATTGGTACAATAATAGTTTCAGGATACACAAAAAAGTGGAGTGGAGTAAGAAGTGCCTTATGTTTTGGCAGACATGTATGTGATCCACACAGACTGTCAAAAAGGAAAGAAGTCAGTATTTCCCCCCACGCAAGCTCTGAGCATGCTGCAGCACAGTTACACTGTCCCCATGAACTTTCCTACAGAACAGTCCTCCAACACTTGAACTCATCCAGATTTTGGCCCTAGCATAGCCATAAAACATGCATGTCCTTATCCACCTGTGTTTCAGGTCAACTGTGAAAAAGGACTTTTGTACCTTATTTAACCTCTCATCTGCACAAGTACCACAAGCTGTATACAATGGGTGAAAGAGGAACACAGAAAGAGCACATAAAAAACAGGAGGCTTCTGTTTTAAGTACTTCTATGTATACACATTTCTTTACAGATGTTCCCAAATCATGCTCAGCTGTTTTCTGCACTGGAAATGGGCACGACTGCTTAATACTTTGGAATAAGGACACATTTTGAGCTCCAGGAAGCTGGTCTGCAAACATTTGAATAGGGAATACTTTGCCTCTGAAAGAGATGGGCTTTAGTGAAGTGAATTTTGACAACAAATAGCAGGTCCCTGTTAGCATGCCATAGTTTGGCTAAAAATCCTGAAAGCCTGACTTAGAATTACTGTTCTTTTGCTTCAGATAAAACGATCAAAGATTTGGGATTTAAAATAAGACTTGCTTCTATACACACAGTTTCTACTGAACAACTGACACACAGTAATGTGTTACTTCATGATAGTTTGATATATCAAAGATCTAAATAAAGGAAAACCATAATGTTGCTCTGATTGGGGCTGTAAGCAGTGTGAAGGCATCAAAAAAATATCTCTGGAGTTTTTGGAGGCCAAGTGAAAAGATCATGTAATGACAGCAGCCCTGCCTATGCCAAAGCAAAGATACTTTTCAAAGAAGGCATGATGGCAACATGACAAAGGCATCCAGTCTGAGAGGTGATCCATCTTCTTGATTCTAGGAATGAGCACACAGCAAGTCACGTTACCACCCACCCCTACAAGCTTAAGGCATTAGGTAACCATAAGTCCATGGTGAAGCACCACCTGCATTCTCAAAACCATCTGCTACAACCCCCCATCTGCTGTGGTGCAATATGAAGATATTCTCTCTCCTCTGGCCTGGAAAGCAAGAAGATGGCCTCCTGTTAAAGTAACTCCATATAACAGCTTGTCAAAAGACAACTATGTTAAACTGGATTGCTGGGCCAGCTGAGAACATGGTGGAGGTCCCTGACCCTGCCAGGAGGGCAGAAGATGATAATGATGGAGTCTCCACAGGCAGAGAGCTTCTCAACCATCTCAACAACACTTCACTTGTGTTTTCTGCAGAATGAAGCAGAACTACCACAGAGGAAAAGCATTTGCAGCTTTGGGTACTTCTTGGACTCAGAGAGATAGCACATTAAAGCAGATCCATGGCCAACCTGCTGAACAAGTTTATTCTTGCTGCTTGCTCTCTCCAGAGACAGCATGACAAAGCCAAGTGCAGCTGAGGAAATGTTCTTGCAGATGTTCATATATGTTGGGGAAGAAAGTTCTATTGCTTGCAAAGCAACTATGACATGAAG